GGACTGGGGCAGCGCTGCCCCCCCCGCGGGTCAGGCCCCAGCCGCGGGTGTGGAGAGTATGGGAGCGTCGGGGACAAACTTTAAACACCGGCGCGTCCTTGAACGGAGAGCGCCGGCCCGGGACGGGGGAGACCGCCGCGCCCGTCTCGCCCCGCGTGGGAGTGAGGGGCACTGGCCACCGGTGGCTGCAAATGGGTCCTGGTGCAAAACAAGGGTGAGAGCCCCTGGCCCCGCTTAGCCGTGCAGGCCCGTGCACCCCGCTTCCCCCCATCTGCTGCATATAAACACCGGCGCGTCCTTGAACGGAGAGCGCCGGCCCGGGACGGGGGAGACCGCCGCGCCCGTCTCGCCCCGCGTGGGAGTGAGGGGCACTGGCCACCGGTGGCTGCAAATGGGTCCTGGTGCAAAACAAGGGTGAGAGCCCCTGGCCCCGCTTAGCCGTGCAGGCCCGTGCACCCCGCTTCCCCCCATCTGCTGCATAGATACGTCTTGGGGCCACAACGGGTGTGTTTAAAGCCCGGGGGTGCTGGGAGGTGTCACGCGCTAAGGTTCGCTGCTTGCCCCTGAGCGACAAGGGGTGAGCAGGTCCTTTCCTCTTGTAGGGAACCCGGTGTACCTCCACGAGCTGCTGGAAGGCAGCGAGATCGACTTTCCTGAAGTGAAGAAGCCTCCGAGGGTACGTAAGAAGGGGGGATTGGCCCCTCGGAGAGAAGGTGAGCTCTGACCTTGCCGTGGCCAGTGCAGTATCAAGACTAGCTACGGCGGTACGGGCCCCAGGGTCTGTGTCTTTTAGCTGAGGCTTGTAAGCACAAAGGAAATGGGCCTAAGGGATGTGCACAAACACACGGTGGCTCCTTTGTTCTCAGCCGAGTTTTTCCATGTTTATTCTCTTTCTTCAGAATCCAGAGCTGGTCGCCCGCCTGGAGAAGATAAAGGCTAAGCTTGCCAACGAGGAGTACAGGCGCATGACAAGAAACATCCATTGCCAGGTCAGAGGGGAAACAGTGAGGCTGCCAAAGAAAAATAAACCTGAACTCTCTTCTCCATTAGCTGCATGGATTTACTCAACCTTGCGGTACTGCCGTAAGTGTCAGTGCAGCCAGCCACAGCACCCAGCTTTTTAGTGAATTTGAGTCCGTAGCTCAGAGGCAGAAGCATCCTGGAGTTCAGAGGAGACCTCTCTCATGTGGGTCCCCTATGAACTCCTGCTAGGCCCCAGACTCGCTCTGGAGGCAGACACTGTCTCTCTGACGCTCATACATTTGTCAAGAATGAAACTGCCAAATTGGTATTGTAAAGGATGGACTCCTTGAGCCCCACCGCACGCGGCCCTCCGGTTGGCACACACAGGGAATGATATAGGTGAAGGCTCCGAGAAGCCATGCTGAGATAGTCTCCTAGTGGAGATAGATATCTAGGAGGGAACTAAATGTTTTGTTTCTGTTTTTATCTTATTCCTTTAGGATGTGTGCCGGGATGGGACTCTGGCTGATTTGGGAAGGCAGGGTAAGTTGGGTAGCAAAGCAGTGGTGAGAGCTGAGGAAATGCTGTCGCGTGCCTGTTCTCAGAGAACATCCCCTCCCTCTCCAAAAAGGGCCAGAGGTTTCCCAAGATGCTCTTAAATGTAAAGATATTCAACCTACCAACAAGACGGTCCAATTTTAGTTCTTAACAGTAAATAATCACAGGGGACAGATATTTGGCTTGTCAAAAGTTGAAGGGCTGTAGGAAGCCTCAGTGGATCAAAGTCTAGAGGAGGAAGAGTCCCCTGAAAGATGTGAGATCTGCCACCCTGGCCAGTGAAGTGAGACTGGTCAGTTCGCTTTCTCTCTGGTTCCAGCTGGCGTCCGAGTGGCTGGCAGACCCCCCTTTCCATTTATAGCTCAGGTGACAGACAGAGGTGCTTGCAAGTCGGAATAAAAAGAGACTCTTCTCTCCTTCTCCAGTTAGGTCAGTGAAAGCTCTCATCATCACCATATTCAACTTCATTGTCACTGTGGCAGCTGCATTTGCCTGCACCTACCTGGGCAGACAGTACATCTTTACCGAGACAGCAGCGGTGAGTAAGCAGAGGTGTCTTGTTTTGAGGACTCCCGAACTTGCTTGGGGCGGTCTCTGGGCAGGTTAGGCAGATGTGGCAGGGAAGG